CAATATTTAAAGAAAATGGAAATTGATCTACCTTATGACCCAGCCATCCCTCAGAGGAGGTAAGAAATAAAACACGACCAGTCATCTGTGCTTCAATGTTTATTGCGGTGCAATTCACAATCGCAAAGAGTTGGACATGACCTAAATTTCCATCGATAGATGAGTGGATTAGTAAACACTGGTACATATACACAATGGAGTACTATGCAGCACTAAAATGCATGAATGATCACACAAAACATGTCATTTAATGGGAAGAGTTGGAAGGAATTATGATAAGCGAGGTAAGCCAATCTCAAAAGGACAAGTATAACATGAGTTCCCTGAGGTAAGTACTATCAGCACAGCCGGAATAGAAGAAAAGACTTATCTCACAATATATGGGTGGAAGCATAGGCACTCGGGGGGAGGTCAGACCAAATCCTGGGAGTGACATGTGAATCCAACATAAAGAAGGGGACAGGGGGAAGGAGGATGGAGAATGGGGGTGGAGAAAAACTGAGATGATGACATGGGGGGAACACCCTAAGGGAGGGTATTGGTTGTGTCTCCATAGAATTGGAACATGCATATAGACCCCACCATGGTATGCCAAACCAGGAAAGCAAGGTAACACATGGAGGAATGCATGAAAAAACTGGACAACAGGGCTTGCCCCAACCAGAACCAGCCTGATCCCCACCCTGGAAGTGTGTGCTGCAGAGAATGACACTAGATCTTCTGGTGCGGGAAAGGAACCAACCTACCATACCCAGCAAACCAAGAAGGAAAAAGAGAAAGAGGCAGTTGGCCTAGATTCTATATAGGCACACCAAGCCAAGAGGATGAGGTCCCTGCATGCAGCTCCTGGGGCACAGAGAGGACTGTGGGACTACCAACAGCTCAAAACATGTTGTCCCTAACTGAAGCATATGGAGATAGGGGACAATAATGGGGACACACAGTGGGGAGACAGTGTGGGAATGGAGCACAACAGAACAGCAATTGGAGTAAAGCTGAGCCACAGAGCTCCTGAGGAGCCCTAAGAATGGACTTCGGGCAAGAAGGGACAGTCCCCAGATCTCCCTCAGGACCAGGGGGGAGGGTCGCAGAAAACAGACCTGGACTTATGTAGGGTTGTTTTTTTTACCCCTTTTCTTCCTTTTTTTTCCCTCTCGTCATTTTCCTTTTCTTTTCTTTCTTCAACAGTATGTTTTCTTATTGTTCAGACCAGGACATGGATGGTTTACCTAATTAGATGGGGTGGACCATGGGAGGGAAGCCGGGAAGAAGGCGATGGGACCATGGCCCCGGAAGGTAGAGGGGAAGAAGGAGGTGGGGAGAAGGGTGTGGTGAGGCGACGCGTCATGGACAGGGGAACAACGATGGAAGCTGAACCAGCATCTAGGAGAGGGTAGAGATCCTGTGAGTGTTAGAGCAACACCAAGCTAGTGGAGAGGAAGCACTAAGGGGTGGAAGGAGGGGGAAAGTGATGGCGGGGCAAGAGGAGGCAAAAGGAAACTGAGGCAAGCTCTAGGAAGTAAAGGCATAGATAGCGAGATTAACAGAGGTGTCCACTTATGTAAAGACATTAATCCATAACAATAGTGGTATTAGCCTATGTACATATATTTATAAGGCAATACACTGAAGCTGCAGACGGGCCTTGGGCCTCGGCACATACCTTCCCTCAATACAAGAACACTTTGTTCTAACAAAGTGGCATTCTGTGATGCTCACCACCCACCCCCACCCACACAAGATCTCTGAAGACAACATGGGTGCATAGCAGATGTGGTGAGGACAGAGGATGGTGCCCGGCTATTAAAAGATATAGCGTCTGGGGTCTTAAAGGCTTGAAGTTAAACAAACAGCCATCCAACAGTGAAGCAACAAGTCCACATGGAAGCAGCACACCAACTGGTGTGATCATGATATGTCATCAAGACCGGCCAACGGGCATCAGAAGATTCACAACAAACAGTAAAGACACAAAAGTGCATTGGGGAGAATGGAGGGGGGTTGGAGCAGAGACCCAAAGCCCATTTATGGACAATGGAACATGCTCCCACAGAGGGGTCGCAGAGAGGGGTTGAGTCAAACAGTATGCACTAATTGGTCATGCAATATATCTCTGATCCCTTGAGGCCTCCTCACACCTCACTACCATGACCCCAGTGCCGCTTCCCAATCTAGACTGGACAGGAGCATGCGCATAGGTATAGGCAAGAGATAAAACTCACAACACATGGAACCAGGAACAGGAATGGGAATAGAGATGCCAAAAAGGTAGGGGCAGAAGGGGGAGGCACCGATCACAATGAATGGCACACAAACACACATACTCATTTTGGGGGAAGAACAACAGAAACCAGGCGGGAAGGGAGACAAAGGCCATGGGGAGAGGAGCAAGGTGGTGGGGAGGGAGGCTGGAAAAAAAGAGAAGCTAATCCCAAGGGCTCAATGGAAAGTAAAGAATGTATAGAAAAGAACGATAGAATATACGTACAAATATATCAGATACAGCTGATATATGGATTGTAACAAGAGTTGTAAGAGTCCCCAATAAAGTGACTGTTAAAAAAGGTTAATGACTGAGCATTTATAAAGAAACCATTTTCTTGGTTCAGAAAGAGGACATTTAGTCTGAAGAAACACCTACAAAAGCAATTGCCCCTTCCAATAAAAATTAACCACGAAATTTGCAAATATGAAGAAGCAAAGTTTAAATAAGAACAGGAAGATTTTAAAATTGCAAGGTGAGCATGTTATTTGTTTATGCTAATTCAATCTAGTCTGGAATCAAGAGAGCTTTCCCAGAGCAATTGAGATCAAATATAGTCTAACTCAATAGTCGCCAGTTCCTATGTCAGAAGTGAGACCATTAAACTTATCACTGCTAATTTCTGATTTTTGTTTACCAGATGCAGTAGTAAGAACCACTTCCGATGTGTCCCCACTCCAGAGAGGAAGTGCACACCCAATGCAAGGTCAATCGTTTGGCACATCCCTCATGCCCGGTCCCTGCCGCTCTTCACTGGGGGAAGCAGCCAGAGGCAGTACATGCTCTATATTCTTTCACAAATTGATTTTAATTTTAGAAAAAAAATCTATTGGTGGCTAAAACCCTACTTCAGAGTCAAACTGTGAAAAACACTTAGTAAACAGGCACATCTTTGCATTGTTCCAAGCTTCGAAGAGAGAAAATAACATAGTCATTCAAGGGTATTTTCATTTCCCTCCTGATTTGTAAAGCTCTGAATATCCTGGATTGGGGACTTTCTATTACTACACAGCTGGCAATGTACCATGGTGGTAGAGGGGTCGGTAGGCAATGAAAGACAAGGTCAGTGACTCAAACCCACCAGCTGCTCCTCAGGAATAAGATGAAGCTTATTCCGTGCCTGTAAAGATTAAAAATCTTGGAGACCCAATGGGCCAGTTCTACCCTGTCCTATAAACCACCCTCTCCTACAGGCTCACCCGGTATTGGAATTGGCTCGCTGCCACCGGGTTACTCAGCTAGCATGAAGAAGCCCTAGTGGTGAATTAGTTATGTGCTCGGTTGCTAACCAAAAAGTCAGCAGTCACCTTCAGCATCGATATCAGCCTTGCAACCCCCGAGAGCAGTTCAACTCTCTCTCACAGTCGCTATGAGTCAGAATCTCTTCCAAAGCAATGGATTTTCTCTACAACTGCCAAAGCTTCATATGGAACGTAGCTTCTGATATTATTCTATTCTCCTCCTCTCCTGCAAATCATGTAGTCTTCTGCAAATCATGTACTCTTCTTATCCATTTTTCTTTCCTTTCTTTCCTTTCTACTTTCTGAGATTCTGAGAAAGCAGTTGTTAGAGTGGAGACTTGAAAAGTAAAGTGACAGATCATACTGGGTTCCACATCTAACTCCACAAATTCTAGCTGTGTGACTCTGGCAATGTGAATAACCTATCTGTGCCTGCGTTTCTTCACAGGAAAAATAAAGATAATGTCATGGAATTGCCAGGAGGGTAAAATAAGCTGTAAATCACTTACACACAGTAAATGCTCGGCACACAGTATAATTTGTTATTAGTTGTTGTTAGTTATTCTGTCTGCAAGTGGAAGAGGAAAAAAAAAATCCCAACATTCTTCATGGCCAAGGTCCCAGCTTGCTCTGGCTAGCATTCAAAGTGGTATCTGGGCATGTTGACAAATTTGGGGGCAGGGCCCTTGAAGTGTGTTTCTGTGAAGGATGGAAGAGCTTGTTGGGAAATAAGTCTTCTCAAGGGCTCGGCCTGAGGACCTGGACCTAATAACAAAGCCTTGCATTTGGAGGAGGGAAGAATTATTCTGATTACAGCAGATTTGGATTCTGGGCTTGTCTCGTGCGTTTATGTTGTGTTCTAGGGAAATAATGAGCTATAGATAGATAATAGACAGATAGATGATAGATAGATATCACTAAAATTGATATTAAACAGCACTATGATCAGTGCCCTGCTGAAAAGAATGAGGGCAGAGAAGTATGTGATCTAGCTCATTAAGCACTGACAAGAGCCAGCCCAGAATGGCAGAAAGGCCCAAATGGGGGCAGGGCTTTTTAGTGAAATAGAGTTAACCCTGTAACAAATCAAATTGGGTTCTCCAAAAAGACATGTTGAAGTTCCAAACCTCAGGAACTGAGAATGTGGCCTTGTTTGGAAAAAGGACTTTGAAGACGGTATCAGCTGGCAGGAGTGCATCCTGGAGAAGGTAGTGCCTTAACCAAAAAGAGAGAAGACCCAGACAGAAAGTCTCAGGGGTCAGATGGTTGTGCAAAGATCGATGCAGAGAGTACAATGGTGCATCCCAAGCCAAGGAATTCCACACTTTGCCAGGGACCAACCAAAGCTAAGAAGAGGTAAGGAAGGCCCAGGGCCTGCTAGCACCTTTAATTCAACTCGCAGGCCCTGGAACTGTGAGATAATCCATTTCCGCAGTTTTAAGCCACCCAGTTTGTAGCACATCATTACAGAGACCCTGGGAAATGCATACACTCACATAACGCCTGTGATCCCAGGTAGCTGGTGAGGGAGACAGACGACTGAGAGCTCCTCTGCATGCTGCTTTAGCAAAGATGTCCTGATGTCTCAGTTACACTATGTCTCATAAGCTAGAAAACCAGAAGGAAGTGTTACCTGCTAGACTTTGGACCCTAATAAACTCAGAGTGGGTAAATCATTTCATCCATTAAGCATTAAACACATGTTTATTCAATACCTCATATGCCCCAGGTGGAGTCCCTGGGTGGTGTGAACAGTCATCATGCTTGACTGCTAACTGGAACGTTGATGGTTCAAAGTCACCAGAGGCTTCACAGAACAGTCTGGATGATCTGTGTCCAGAAAAACCTGTCACTGGCATAGTTCTACTCTGACACACAAAAATCAGAATCTACTTCATGGGCAGTGTGGTTTGGGTAGCTCCCAGGCAAGATGTGTAGGGAGAGAACACACACGGGATTACACCCTTTGAAGCTCACCCTTTGGAAGCAGCCATAAAGCAGAGGCTGTGCTCCGCAGGGCAGTCCCGCACTACTGTGCGAGTACAGGGGGCCTTACAGTCAGATTTGTGGGGGTCAGTAATGACTTCTTGAAGAAACGTTGTCTGCAGAGATCTAAGACTGACACCAATTAGGTAGGCAAGAGAGTTGAGGAAAGTACACCCCCAGTCCTGGAGACAGCAAGTGCAAGACTCCAGATACTGCATCTCAGAGAACTGTTGTTTATAAGCCTGATCAGGGGTCAGGAAATGAGGGCTTGTCACAGTTTTGTAAATCAAGCTTTATCATAACAGACATGCTTATTTGCCTACTTACTGTCATTAGTTTAATCTATGCTAAAATATCCGAGTTGAACAGTGTGACATATACTATATGACTCATCAATGATTATATACGATCTTGTTCTTTACAGAACAACAACAAAAAACCTCATCATCCTCTGGGCTAGAGCACAGAAGGCAAGTGGGAAAGTGGGGTGCAGTCACCAGTGACTCCCATCCAGCAGCACTCTGGGTTAGCCTGTGCATTAGGGTGAAGCACATGGAATGAATTGGTGGCACTCTTTTCACAGCTGTCCTATAGCATTGGCCCCTGTGGCACTATGAAAACCAAACCAAACCAAACTGAATGCACTGCCACCAGATGGGTTAACTTC